CAAAATGTTTAGAACAGTATCAGCGAACTGCTTTGTGTGGAGTCCGGTCAAATCCTGGTGGCAGCCAGGTTTGTTTTTATTACGGAATATTACGCAAAAACGCTGAACTTTACCCCTGGTTGGACGGGAAAATGTTGACCTAATTGCAATAACCGAGCATATAAATTGATATATGAGCCAGCTCAATTAACCTACAATCTGTATTGGCCTGAATTCAACAATTTCAACATTCGGACGTCAGTACGACCTGGCATTGAAATTGTGATATTCCTATTTACACGAAATAAACGTTTTAAATAGAGTCAAAATTTAACGTTTGTCGTCTTTAATTAAATACAATACGCCCGCGTAAAATTTCAGAAGCAAGTCAAATAAGAAGCACTGACATTCATTCCCAATAGTCTTATATTCAAAGTACAATGGACATATAATAATAGCAGTATGCATGGATATAGTATATTTACACATATACATATAGGACAATGTATACAGTAGAACAGAATTTAATATTGTTGATACAGAGTTTATATTCGTGAACGACCTTTTTCTACCAAACTTGAAATGAAGTCATATTCCTAGACCACATTCAGTACACATAAAGTCATGGCGCGAGTGACAATCCATCATATCATCGGTACGTCTTCAATATGAGTTCACTAGCTGTGGTTACTATTTTGGTTCTCAATAATCATTGCATTCCGCAACCAATTTGGTATGTTATTTTTGACATAAAATATATATTCAGTGGCCAACACAACCCGCCGAAAAACAGCCATTTGCTGTGATAATAAAATCCATTTGCCTAATTCCTGTAGTTCTTCGGTGAGTAAAATGCTCTAAAACAATCGATCATAACCAGACAGCAACGACCAAAACACGCGCAACTAGAACAATGTTTAGCACAAATATCTCACGTGCAAATTTACTGGGTTCGCATTATGTGTATCACAGTCACAATGGCACAGCGTGGTCACGAAACAGTATATTAAACATGGGTGCTATACTTCATCTGATACTTACCTGCCATTCTGAGTGGTGCCCAATTATCGCCATGAGCTAAACCTAATGGTGTGTAATCAACTTCATGACCAGGTAACCAATCGTTCAAGTATGTCTTAAAATCAACCGCATACTCTTTTTCTCCAGTCACATTATACATTAAAAGCTGATATATAGAGATAAGATTATGAAACAATGTTCAATTTTCTGAATGCCATGGTTATAACATTGCATGCTTTCAAATGGTTTTGCGATGAGTTGATGGTATTCGCATGTTTGAATATATTATATTACGAATACGAACACAATGTCGATATTCAAACACTCTTAATTTTAACAATAGTTTACAGTTGGGTATTCATATTCTCTACACACATATATTACGTCACAAACTCTTCAACGTTATTTCGCACATGTTTTAAGCTAACGCAACGTATTAAGAAAGAAGAAAAAAAAAAAGAATAAACAAACATTCAAACGACCAAACTTTAAAAATAACATTAACATATTAGTATTGATTCACAGATTATGGTGTACAGGTATCTCTCTAATAATGCAGGCAATTATTATTTGTTTCGATCCTAGTATTAATAATTAATAATCATAATTAATTATCATGTATCACAGTGTCTTGTGACATTAACACTAATCTAATCATATTCGGCGATGTTATTATTAGTATCAGCTTCCACAACAATTGAAATACGTTACGTATAAAAAATATTATAACGAAAAAACATAAACCCATACAAAAGTATATATTTAATTGCCTGTTATTTCAATAGTGCTCTTCTATTTATTTATTTCTGTTCTAAAAACTGTAGGTACATCTAGGCTTTGATATCATTAAAAATTGGTGATCGGTCAGCCGGATCTAACAAAATATTGCACATTTTGACAGTGACTATTGTGGCTGATAAAAGCCGCATTGTGAATCAGCAGCCACGTACAAAAATAAAAATACCTGAGTTCCGGCTCGAACGTCATTCCAAGCAAACGGTACAAGGGTGTTTTCCAGGCCCCATTGAATATAATGAGCTTCAGCCTTACTCCTGAAGGTTTCATTATTCGACGACTTGTAATACCAAGCTTCGGCCCATACTACCTTGTCTGTGTATCTGGGAAATCTAGACAAGAGACCGGAAATAGAAATGATTATTATTTGAATAATTATTCATAACACACTTATATTATATATATGCCGTGCATTAATCATACTGCATGATGGGAAGCTATAATTTGACAGAAGATAGTACTCACGTATAGTGATCAAGGCATGGCCCTTCGAATAAACCAGGGGTTTCTTCAAACTTCTCGTACACTGATTTCGCTTTTGAAAGTAAATTGTTCGAGTATCGGGTATCTGAATGAGAAGACTTGCATCATCAGGCGACAACAGCCACACATTTACATAGCTTTTTGCGAAATGTAATTCCAGTAATTGGTTGTATTGTATAGTATGCATGTAATGAATAAAGTATACAATAACGATTAACAAATTGTACGCATATATATTTATATATATATACTGTGTACATAGTATTCATGGCGAGCAAGTAGATCATATTTTAAGTAGCGCCCTCCACTGACGAAGCTCTTCTGTGACGTCAAAATGGCGTACACGGTGAAGGTATAGTCAGTTGCCATCTAGAATATAATAAAATATAGTAATAACCAATAATACATAGTAAAATCTCCCCCCCCCCCGCAAAAAAGATATGGCTGATTATATATCAAAGCGATTTGATACGTCTTACGAGGAGTATTACATAAATCTTCCCCAGTCGACGCCATACTTTACCAATTTCTTTGAAAACAATACTCGCTGCTGACAGTGCCGCTGAAGTAAGCATCGCCTCTGATGTAGGGCGATCGTCATTGTAAGACGCATGACAAGCAGGTCTCAACATAGTCATGTCCTCAGGACGTCCCCAGAATTCATGGTCTAGCGTAAAATCTCCGACCTGCAGGAATCATTATAAATAGTTTCAATCATATACATTTAAGTGTTATGTGTTAATATAACTATGTACTTAAATATTTTGGTTTCGCGATTGTCACATACGACTTATTTACCACTTCCGTGTCACTGAGAATGTTCTAGAACCGTACTGTGTCTGGGTGGAATATTCTATATTTTTTTAGAAACTGGTTGAATCGGTAATAGAACACTGTAGGAGGCAATGGAAGGTAATGGAACATTCTAGAAATTTGTAGTAAGTTCCAGACTCATTATATATGCTGATGTAATGGTCTATTTATAGACAGTGTGGGTATATATAGGGGAGTTGTTCAGCACTGAGATCAGATCGGAGATCTCGTTGAATTGTATTGGAGTTTAAGTATCTAGTCATTGGAGTAGTGGAGTTTTACCGCGTTATTGTACTTGATGTTTGCAGAGTATAATAATACCAGTACCAGTTGAAACCTCATCTGTTGGCTCCGTGTTCGTATGTTATCATCACCGCCAGGGAAGTCTTTATGTTACTGTTGCCATTTTGGTATTTGAACCATCACACCTGTACTATACCAATTACGGTAATATTACGTTGCGTGTGACAGCGATGCAACGGACTAGTACAACGTAAATAGCATATTTTAATCTCACACATTTTTGTTAGACAAACCGTGTATGTCACTAAATGAATAAATTATTTATTTTTTCCATTTGTTCATACTCGGGTTTCAGTTTTGATAACCACCACCACCAGTTAAAATAAATGTTGACAGCCACTGAATAGCCACTTTTTTTGACAGCAGGGAACTATTATAGAAATCACATCAGAGTTTTTCACAATGGTAACAAGTAACGGAGATTCTGAGTTAAATTACAGAAAAGCATATTTACAAGAACGATCAGGTCATCTTCAGTCCTCACTTTCAATAGATAGTCAGTTCCCCATCTGATGCAGTCCAAGGCATATGTGTACTGACCAGCAGAAATATAAGCATCCATGAAGTGAATCAAACCCCATGCGATGACGGTCATACTGTACGCTATCGTCGCTGTGACTTTCACATGGTCGCCAGCTATACAAAAAACGTAGTATAAAAATAAGTATTATTTTAATATTATTACGTTTCCAGCATGATTTAGAAATTTAATTTCTTTGATATACTTTTTGGGGATTCTCTTACCATCATAGTAACCTCCGGTAAGATCGCGGCCAAGGTTATCGACATCACCAGTGGCCGAGTCATCGCGGTAAGGTATTCTGTTGGGTTGATATCGATACCCCTTCTTCCGTTTTCGGCACCTTTTCCTCATAGGAGGTAGACATCCCGATCTTTGAGTTTCATAAAATAGTAATGATTTTTCAAGTACCAGTTTATAGTCATAATCTATAACAAATTATCGCATTTGTTTCCATAAGAATATATGCTAAATATTTCAATGTATTGCCATGGTTGCTGTGAATCACATGTTTTAAGTAGCAATAACATCTATCAAATCATACGGTGCTGTGCTACATTTCTGAGAAGGGATAATAAATCAGTTAAATAATTTACTGTAATTTTTGAACAAAAACCTGAATGATTACATATCAAAATATGTGTTGTTCACGGTTTGATATATTAATTTAGTTGATACAACAAATAAAACATTTGTTGTGACGGCATAATCCACACAAAACTGCTTCCCAATGTTCCGTGATATTTCTCAAATTAATGCGTCAGAAACAACACAATATGACGTTCGTTACTCTTTCGTTTATATGATTTTACCGAGAACAAAGCAAATTGATACAGAATCCACGCCCATAGATATTCAATTCATCTCCCTGTTACGAGGCTGGTCTTCCGAATATGAATTTCTGAAATTATTGTCTAATTTAACAGACATTGTACCACTAAGAGTACATAATTTTTTATGCCTGGGCCTTGTGAAAATTCGAGGCTCTAAAATTGTTAATGTTTCGTAAATGAATGTTTTATTTAAATTTTAATATGTTTCCAATAAAATTATTTGTCTTGAAATGAAAATCAATGGACCCTGTGCTAGTATAAGTGAAATTGAAGCACTGCATTAACGAGACGATTTTGTTTCAAAATGATGTACGCCAGTTATTAACGTGCAGCCGTATATAGAAACATTCATTTTCGATTTATAAAGTTTTCTTCCCAAAACATTGGATTTGTATTTTTGTTTCTACATATGTGCCTCTTGTTCTAATTTGCCATTCCTGTTCAGTTTCATTTTCTTGTATAATTTCAGTATTTCGGGAGATCATGGTCATCGTAAATCGTGTGTAGATAATGATCTCCTCACTGGATAGTAAATACATATTTGGTTTTTCTAAAATGATGTTATGGAAAAACACTCAAAGATGCATAACGATCGGTTGATGTGATGTAAATATGGGTAGGTTTTAGTAAAGTTTACCTTCGCAAGTTTCACCAATAAAACCCGCAGGACACTCACATGAACTGTCAACCAGAATGCCATTAACACACACTGGGGTCGTCTTTTTATCTGTAATACATAGCAAACATTAAAACAGTTGAGTAATCTGTCTGGTTTAATTATTTTTATTTTTTTACCCCAGAAATAAAATCGCATGTACTCATAAGTTGGATTGTACTACAGCGCCTGAATATTTCCTTTGCATTCGTATTTGCAGAGGTTGAGAATGAATTATACGTAAGAGATTTTGTAATATCAGTTTACAATTTCCTTGTTTATATTGAAATGCGTGTAATGTGCGTTCTTTTTAAATCAAGAACTAAATTGCTTAGACATGCATTATACGGATTCATTGCGAGAGATCGCTTTTGTACAAAAAACACTTTGTAAAATGCCAGTTTGTCCTAGGTCTCTCAAAGTCGGTTTGCACATTGTACCACAATAATATTATACCCAACGTCACGCACTCAAATCCATTAGAAAATAACCTCATAATATGTTCAATTTAATAATAATAATAGGGATAACATTAGTAGTACCAATGTACGACACGCAACAAGCCAGCCCCTGATTTGTTGGCATATAAAGTTTCCATGGTAATGAATGTATTATCAAACAATAACAGTAAACCAGATTGAATTGTTTGAATTGTTTTCCGTCACCAAATAATAAAACGTACTTTCGTGAATATGTAATTATACAGGCAAGCATTCGTTTTCATCCGTCATTAACAAACATTTAGACAAGTTGGAATTCATTGTGTGATGTTAAGTAATCATATACTATGATAACTCTTGTCCTGGGGCCGGAACAGCTGCGTGGAGACCAAGTAAGCAAATGATGCCAAGAGACTGTGTAGTATAAAGTGACCATGTGGTTTGAAATATTCATGTGCTACAAATTCGAAAGAAATCGCGAATTTGCAAGGCACAATTTGTGGTCAAAAAGGCTTGTGTGTTTATATATTTTGAACGAACCAATTGAAATGCTATTTCATATTATTATTGGTGCGAAAATACGTATATTATACCCTTCCGTTGTACTGACGGCATTATTTACCTTCCGCGCAAATAGAGCCGGTTTATTACAAATTAAATAGCGTTTAAACTAAGAGCATCCCGTCACTGCGCGACACGAATACGGTATAAAAAGCTCTATATACAACAACAATTTAAATAGTGACACAAACAGCACAAGTAAGCTAGTGAATATTCAAAAAAAAAATCGTTTGGCTCACCGGTTGTAATTTAATGATACTTTGAACGACCTGTGCAATATACATATTTAGCTCCATAATAGAATGAATTCAAATCCCTATAGTCGGCAATGTACAAACTTGAAAGGCATACACAGACAGTTGGACACTACATTAAATGTACTGTTGTGCAGTATTTAAAATTAAAGAGTAATTATAACCATCGTTTTCTTTGACTGTCTAAAATATGACGTTTGTAATTCAATTGCATTCAGTTTTATAATTCAAGACAAATATACTGCACAAATATAGATAATTTGGCAAATTGTATTTTCTGTATGAAAGTTATTATTGGTGTACATATGGAGTACATTTCGTTATGAATTATTCCTAATAGAAAGAATTTCACAATGTCGCAAACGGAAAGTCGTAGTGTTTTTTAAAGCTTCATGTTTGAAAGATATGAATAGAACAGTAGTGATTTATGCATATATACGCACTAGTAATGGTGAATTCGTCACGAGGTCACGTGAGTTTGTCTGCTTACGAGCTTTTCAAACAACATTTCATAAGCTGACCAAACCGCTATTGTGTAAAATACTGCCGTGTTTTAGTCTGCCATTCGGATAGAAAAAAAACGAGTTAAAAACTTATCTATGATTCATAATTCTTCGCAAAGAAATAAACGTGCTGCTATAACACACTATGCATTGTATAAAGCCTGAGATACTCGATAGCCAATTGTGCTTTTGTCGTTTGTCCAATAGAAAAATGTATAGCTATGCAAGCTGCAAGTCTGCGTTTCTGATAATACAAACTAACTATTGACATGCTTCCGGCAGTGCCTTTGGCAGTTTTGGTGGGCTGCGATGAGAACAATCAAAGCATTGGAATAAACAAAGAGATGCTTTATTTGCGCATTCAAGTTCATCAAGACCTGGTCTCAAGAAGAAAACAAACAACTCAAAAATGATTTTCGAGCCGGGACTTATTTCAAAACGTAACAATACGAACTTGGGCGTGAGGTAATCCTCTATACAAACGTTAGTACGTACAGTATATATGGTCACATGTTTCTACCTTACATTAGTCATGAAGTGTGTCCATAGACTGTTCACTTGCCAGAAAATATAACATGACAACATATTTGTTTGTAAAACCCAGACATTCCGCTTCTCGTCCAGTTTACTCATGGGTTAATTTTCTGCTTTTCACAAAAAAATAGTTATGTAAAATAATATTTTTTTTTCAAACTATTAGACATTATTAGACTATTCTATCAGTATTTAAATGATCATGTGTACGAAATTGAAAACTGAATGAATGAACTTCCGGTCTCAATGTAATGGAGAAAGTCGCTACCAAATTGAAATACTATCAGCTACAATATTAGGTACCGGTTGAGTGAGTGCTTGGTTGTAATACGGATACCACTCACCTGTTTTGTCTACATTATTGTTTTCTCTTTGCAATGTCTCATGCTTATAGCGATATATCACAAAGCAAAATATAGAAAGATGAAATTGAGGTTAGAAAAATGTAAATTTCGATATATGAATATAAGCACAGATATAGAAACATAAATGAGTATTGTAAAATCTCTTTTTCTCAACAGCGTTATGCTGACGTACAAATACCCATAGATCAAAATCACCAGATTTTTGTTATTTACTCTCAGTATCAAAATGATTGTTTACTAGTATTTTTTTGACAAATTTTTGATATTCAACCGCTGCTTCTAACGCGTAAATGACATAAATGAAAAATTATCGTGACTTTGGGAATTAAATAAAACTTACCAAAGTAAACGCAGCAAAGAACACGGAGACAAAACATAAACGCATATTCACGTGTACGACTTCAGCACCATAGACATACCAATGCTAAACACTCATTGCTCATTTCTCTTTATATACACTTTATGTAGCGGTTAATATCTCCTACACTGATTTCTCGTTTGATGCTCCGAGATAAAATAATGTTTTATCTTTGATTTACGCCCGCGAATGATAAAAATACACATACCTTATTGTTCAAAGCGAGTATTGTCGCTGTTGCATTCCAGTACATGTACATGAAATAGCTTTCCTGTCGGTATTTTGTAATTTTACAATTGTACTTGGATTTTGAATACAATTTACACATTACGGTGAATGTGTGACATTGACAGAGCTATTTTACCAGTTATACCGCAGCTGGACTCCATTTTCGTTTAACGAAGAAATGCGAATATGAGGGCAATTGACGTTCAAAGCGTTCGACACAGTTGTTGGTGTATCACCGCATTCACTTTTGCAGAGGTATGCGTTCCTTTTACCGAAATAAATTAGTTGTGATTGTACCGAAGTGTATGTCAATGGTAGTTTTTTACATCGTACTTTGTTTCACTGAGTCGGCGTTCTGTTTGTGTTTTGTAGTTTTTTCTACATGTCAAGATACAACGTTGGTGTTTCTACCAATGACAAACAACGCTAAAACAATTAGTAATCGGTTCATATGGGATGATGATTAAAGTCAATGCCAGAAATGTCTTGAATAGCAAACCATTAATGGAAAAAATAAATCATAGCTTAATAACACAAACAACGTAATAATGTCCTATAATTGCACAACACGAGTCAATTGATATTTCAAAAAATGTTGCTGCATTGCAATTGTAGAACTATTTGTATATCTTAGAGTATTGTGTAAAAAGAACCCGGTTTGTGAATGTATCACAAGTGTGCTCTCATATTTTCGGTTTTATTCTATTTTCCTTAGTACACTAGTGTATGAATTATTCAGTATTGCACAGCAATGTGCGTCAACTTGTGCTGAGTTTAGCCGACCAGCATAAACAAGCTTTATTTTATTTTTATTGTTTGGAAAGACGACTCAATTATTGTGTATTATTTGCATTCATTATGTTATGTGTTTCATCAGACCCAGTCATGAATTCATATTGAATTGTACGGTTTTTGCGTGTTCATTATTAGGTCGATATATTTAAATATATATACAATATTCTGATGGCAGTCATGTATAATAACAATTCGTTTAGCTTTATATCAGCGAATTGTGTGTAATTCCCGGTGTCTTCTGCAGTCACACGTGGTTCAAAGCCTCACACCCGCTACACAGTGCATGTTCACATTTTACCTATACTGTAGTTTTTGTTAGATTTAATTGTTTTCAAATTACTTGGAATCTCTTTTGTATATTTCAATGCATTGTCCGACAGTATACAGGTCGGAGAGACACATCAAAATATAGCCACGTGATCGTATTGTCGTACCATTAGCATGGAGCGCACTAACAAACGTCGTGGGTGGTAATTCATAAGCAGCACTCAGTCATTCATACTTATAAAATCACGCTGAGAACTGGATTTGGTATTATAATATTCATTACTAACGTATTTTGTTTTCAATAAACAGTATTGTGAATAAAATAATAATATTATGATGCGATTGTAGAACTGATGAATCACGAAGAAAATGAATTCAAGTTTGAGAACTATTAAACAGTGAACGAGTTACGATTGAACGTAATTCAGGCGGCATGACTATAATGCAATGCCTTGCAGAAATTCCAATTCATTTACTTGTTCTTGTGGTAGAGCAGACCTAGGAGAAAAGATACGTGTATATTAATATTACATACATGCTAAATATTTTGCGGTTGTTGTTGAATTTGGTGGAACGATAGTTGTGTAGATAGTTGTCTTAGAGAAGGTCTTGAATTGTAGTGTGTGTGTGTTTTTTTTTCTGACGGTGATGGCGCTTAGTGTATGTGTCAATGGGAAGTATTGAACCCCGTTACGTGCATTTGTGTTATGTCTATGAATGAATAAATATTCTGTTGTGAGTTTAAAACTCAGTTATATGGCATGCCTTGTGGTATCATAATATCATTCGCACACAATCACAATAATTTACAACGAACTACATATTTAAAGCAACACAACTGAGTGGCGCTATAGCAGAAATCAACTCTACGGCACTGCAGTGTGGTATCGCTCTGCACTGTACCCCAGAATGCAATACTTCTACTTAATAGTTAATGTTATAGTACCTGCAATTGCAGACTGGAATCCAGCATTATAATCTATAGCTACCTCTGTCATCTTATATTCTGTTCGATCGTCTATATAGTTATCATTAATGTCGGGCCCGCCAACTAGAGCTCCTTCTAGAACTTGTTTGTTTGGCTCTGGTGAACCCAAATAACTCACGTCGCATGGTTCCGGTCTATCAGGGCATGAACTGAAAAGATGGAAAATAAATTCCAGTCAAACGCGAGATGTTTGTTGGGTTCCATATACAATGGATCAATAAAAGCTGGCTGTTGCAGTTGTCTCGCAACGCGTGTTTGAATTTCACAACATCGAACACTGCATTTTACACACGCATACATTGTTATCGGTCACATGTGGAACAGTACGCGGCGTGACATATGTTGCGTTTTAATTTCTTGACTGGAATCAGTGGTAATATCGATTGCAGTTGACGTGAATCAATAAGCTCATGTGAAATAAAGCAAACTCCAAGTCATGAATAGAAAAAAATGTAGTGTATTGTGAAGTTACTGAGTATTACATCTAAATACAAAACAAAAATAACTGAATGCTAGTTTGGAGAATACAAACTGCGGGATTTATATTTTCTGGAAGTTACAACCAACCAGAGCAGAACAGTACAAGTGAATCAAAGGTTGCCAGACTAATAAGCGCGCATATTAACAGTAAAACGGATTGTACTGTATAATTTGTCAATCTTATGTATATCTCGGCTTGACATCCAAATAATCTCCAGCAGATTTGTACGTGACTTACCCCTCGCTCCGTGAAATTGAGGTTTAAGCAAACTTATTTCGAATAAAGATTCTCTGTTTGATCTCATATATTTATACATATTTGTGAAACGACATACGGTACACATATACGCATGATTGGAGCATTATAGGGCTGTCTATAAAGTACAACTAAAATTAATATTGAGTGGTTGGTGTCTTACTATACATTTCGGCACGTTGTTCAAACTAGAACTGCAAAGCGCACATACCGATCCATACAAAATTTAAAATGGTCTCACTTATCAAGAACTATCCTATTTCTATTGTAAGTAATATTTATTAAATTTCTTTGTTTATCATAATTTATTTAGCAAATTAGACATTGATATACTGTTGTTACATTTTTGGGTCAAAAACGCAGACATATTTTTGGTTCTTGTTTTAAAGAGTCTATAATTTAAAAAAAAATACAATAACACGTCGACATAAAAAACAATGCTTCCACATTAGGTTTTAAAAACCAATATTGCCAGATTACGGTAGGTGAGAAGTTGGTATAATTTAATTGACATCAATGTCAACAGCGTCGACGATTACAATTATTCCTACTATGATTGTCTTGTAATAACCCCTGTCGCATGGCTTGACAAATATTGTAATCTGTATTTAATCAGAGAATGTCATTTTCATTTTAAAAATAAAAAAATAAAAGCCAAAGGGAGGACGCAATTAGATCATATACAATACAGAAACTACCAACACATTGACAAATCTTCATTTCGCAATATTCAAAGTATGGCAGCAGTGCGTCGCCAGTGCTCGCGGCATCGGCGGTAAACTACCGATAATGTTCAGCGAAGGAGTTGTACGCGCGAAGGTCACAAAGTCTTCTAGACGAAATATATCAAAATGATGAACGTGACACATTGCGCATGGAAAGACCAATAAACCATAATTATTCATGGACTTTGGGGGGAGGGCAATATATTCGCTCTACACATCGACGGCACGTCAACAATGATGATAATCAATGTCGCCTACGTGACATTGACTCACCTGCTTCTGTGGTGTATTCTAACAGGTGGATTTACCCCGAAGTTGGTAACGAAGCTTCTTCCCGTGTCGCCAAGCATGTAACCAATTTGTTGTTTTGCAAATTCTTCATACGTAATCGGCCCAACACCAAGTTTCCTTGCTAGCAGAGCCATAAATGCGAAGTTTGCTGTAAAAAACAATGCAAATATCAGTTTGATCAGAAAAATCAGGAATATATGTAACACATTACGTAATTTAATGTATACCACGAATATATATATATATATATATTCTTTTCCTGTAGTGCACAGTACTTGTCATTTGTTATGTTAATGGTATGTCACAGCCGGTTATAATGTGTTCTTAGGCATGGTATGTGTTTTAGACATATTTTCAATTCAGATTGAATTACAAAACGATAATTATCGTAAATAGAACATAAATTCTGTATATTGCTAACGTTTTCATTGTTAAAGACAATATCGCCATTTTTTGGCCTTAATAAAGAATTTAAGTTTGAGTCATTCCAACTTTGTCAATGATAACATTGAAAAACATCATACGGCCCCTGACAATACATATGTTACTGGTAAGGTCTGGTAACCAGTGTAGCTGACGGGTAAACGTTGTGTAGTTATTTTTATGCAGAATTATTTTATTTTGCATTTTCGCCAAGGATCAATTTGTTATTCGATTTGAATTATGAATTGTTAAGAATTGTGATTCTCATAATACATATTTGACATTTTATATTATATTAAGTCATGTATATGAGTATGTACAGGTTATACGGTTATCCTGGACCCATTTATAAAGCAAAGGTTAAAATATATGCCAACCTAGTTTTTCTCCTTCTGCATTTGATAACAAATAATAATATCAGTGTTGTCAACTTTTACAAAGTTTCACGGATGAAACCACAATTTATTTACAGAATATTATATGCTATTTGGCTGATAGAATTGAAATGTTTTCGTCACAAGGAATATAGTATGTAAATATGGCGTGTACCTATTTATATTTAAGACATAATTTGATACAATTACTTAAATATGACCGTGGCCAATCTAGATAGATGCTTGGGAATGTATACCGGGGAATGTATGTATCTTTCTAGCTGTGAAACATATCAACCAATGATTTTTACCTTGGTTACATTAAGACTTGCGACACATAATTATTTCGATCACGGTCACGTAATTTAATAACACCCAATTCATTAGGACCATGGCCAAAACTTGATGTATATGAGTATAGAACAGAATCGCATTCCATAATTACGTCTCATTTGGAATAATGAAGTGTTTTCTACATAAAGCAGATATATTTGAGTTTATAACACTATGAGTATTATATTCTATTTCCAGTAATTCAAGAACAAATCAATAATATTTGGAACTATAAAATAGATATCTCGAAAAATCCCGATCAGTGATTTTCAATGAATTTAAATATGTAATTTAAAATGCCTTTGAATTTATTTTTCATCTGATATTTGAGTAAGTTATACACAATGCAATTACAAAAACTATGTCATTAGCAGCATCAATATATCAAATAATTTTGGCTATAATTAAAATTCAACATGAAATATGGGGGGGGGGTCAAATATTACTTGCCCAATATCTAATGAGATTCGTTTACTATAACGTTTACTGCTTACCCGATAGTCTCAGTGGTCCCCAATCCATACCATGTGCTAACCCCAATGGTGTATATGTGATAGTTCCCGTTGGTAACCAAATGTTCATGAATGCCTTGAAGTGTTGGGCATATTTTTTAGTGCTCGTCACCTCGAACATCAGAAGCTATAGAACATGAACAACATTATGTTTGCCTCAAATAAAATACTAATATATCAGCAAATGCATTAGCATTCAATAATTATTCACATTAAAGCGTATATAAAGCTCTTCAGTATCGTAAAAGTGAGGAAAATTTTCCTATTCTATAGTCACCTGCGCAGGCGCGGGAATTGAATCCCAGGCGACGATAACCTCACACGCTAAAAACGCAAATGGTCATGGGTAGACGCTTATTTGTAAACAATGACATGCTATGGCCATCTGACGCATGCGCAGGTGACGACTTCCCTTCTTTAAATTGTACAAATTTGTGCTTATGGTACATTATATTAACTGTGTTTTGCATGTATTATTTCTTCATATCACAAGACTAAGGCATATGCAACGTTATCACCGATTGACAAATATATAACGCAATTTAATCTGCATAAACGGATCATTTCGTAAATCCCTAAAGCATGCGTCAAGGGGAATAAACGTTGTTAAGCTGGAGAAGCCATAAATTGGATATTTTTTCTGACAATAGGCTTAACTTACTATTTACATATTGTTTAGAAGTGTGTTTCCATGGTGATAAATAATGATTTTGTAAAGCTATTATTTAAAAAAATGTATATTTAGTTTTAGTTAGTTGTGTGCTATTTTGTATTGCTATGAAAACTACATTGTGATTAGATAACAGGGAGTTGTGCTCAGACATATATGAGAAATGTTGGTAACTTTGCTTAACTATTATGGCATTAACAAATATACTTCAATCTGACAAGTTATTTTAATATGAACTGGAACCGAAATATACGCTAACATTGACCTCGCACGAAACGGCCAGGCAACATTAAAACATGCCAAACGTCAATCTATGTTCATGACTACAGTTGTTTTACCTGAGTGCCTAATCTCACATTGCTCCAGGCAAATCTTTTTTGTTTTGTTTTTAAATTCCATGTGTTATAATTTTCCTTTGCTCTGGTACGGAATGCTATTTTCCCCGATGCCTTGTGGTACCATGCTTCGGCCCATACCACTTTTTCCGTGAACCTTTGAAATCTGATTTAGAATTCATTAATGTCATTGCATTAGATAAAAAAAATGTCGGTTTCAGTATCATGTGTTAGTTTCGTCCAAGTACCTCATGAAATCTGCTGCCTCAATCGCGGTTAATCGTGCACTTTTCAGTAAAATCAACCAACACATATTTATATCAAACACAATTGCATGACATGTAAATATTTCTTTTGAAACATGTGATCACCTGAAACACTTAGTGTCGAATTATTATCGTGTGAAAATCTACTCACGTGTACCCTCCTTCACAGAGATGGTTGAAGAATCCTAGCGAACTTCTGTACATATTGTACACACTCTTCGCCGCTAGCAGCAGCTCATCAGAATAGGCGGGATCTAGAGATGTCAAAAATAAAGTAATTAAAACATATTCCTAGGTAATACTCCCCGCAAAAACAAATGTTACATTCAGAAAACCCCTACACTCTCTACATTGACGAAACTTTCTAACTCGTTTTAAAGCGATTTGAATCACTGTATGCAACATTTATTTATAATATTTTTAAATAAAGCTTCAAAATCACTATACCGTGATGAGAACAGTGTGTTGTGTGATATAGTATATAGAATATAAATGGCAAGACTCCTTATCACAAACGTAGAACGTCACGCTGTGGTGATATTCATTCAACAAATTCCATATTAGATAGTGTGTGATGTGGTACTAGGATCACGGTCATGTTAGCTTTTCAGAAGTTCGGGATTCAAAGATTCGTAAAGAAACACTATGTGCGGGGAATAGAAAATACCTTTATTCTTGAAAACAATACTTGCTGCAGACAGTGCGGCGGATGTTAACATCGCTTCTGATGTAGGTTTATCGGCGGGACTGGCATGACACGCAGGCCTTGCCATAGTCATGTCTTCGGGTCGTCCCCAATAGGAATGATCTTGTGTATTGTTCCCGATCTGCAAGCGAAGAAGCATCATTACAAAAAAGACGCGCTATCCAGGGCAAATTGTGGTGAGATAGGATTCGTAGTAATGACTGAAAAGTGGTGAAATGTACAAAGGCGAAATAAGAAGGTTTACCACAACAACAAGATCCTTGGTTAGAGTTTTCAATAGATAGTCCGTTCCCCATTTGATGCAATCCAAGGCCCTGTTGTAATACCCAGGATTCTTATACGATTCGGTGAAGTGAATCAAACCCCAGGATATTAGAGTCATACTGAAAGCTATAGTCGATGTGACTTTCATATGATCGCCAGCTACAGATTTGAAAGAAAAATACATTGTCATTCGATCAATTCAACAAGAATATAACAACAAAAATAGGCAATACATCGAACAGAATGACAGTCATTTGAAACACAGCATAACTAAACAAAATAATTAATTACACATACAACTTACATTAAGTGAGATACGATACTATACAACTAAAAGCCATGTACATGTATTGGGATTGTCCGATTATTAATTGGGTTCGTGTAAACGGGTACATCGCAAGCCTAACGCTACATTCACTTGAGCCACGGTATTGAGCCATATCATACGTCGTGCGTAAACACGGATATTGATGATTGTTTATTGTCATATTGTGCATCCCTTCACAAATTTCACTTACCATCATAGTAACCCCCAGTCATATTGTTGCCATCATTGTCAACATCAGAAGTGGCCGAGTCACCGCGATAGGGTATTCTGTTGTTATTGGGCAGATGCCCCGAACGTTGAGTCTCGTAAAATAGCAAGGATTTTTTAAGAACCAATTCATAGTCATATTCTGAAACAACACGTGGACAATAATATTAAATACACATTTTATAGTTTTACATCAACAGTTGTCTGGTAAAAAAAGAGTAAATTCATAACGTCTCAACTTTTATTATACTACACCACTACATCACATAGAAATAGGCCGTTTCACTGCCAACGTGAGTTTCTTGTCAGTATAATACTCTGTAGATTCATGTACGTTTACCTCATGAGTTCCTCACAAGATATGTAAATTTCTCCAAGTGGCTAAATAATCAGTATTTCGGAGGTACTCCAAACCTCAGTTTTATCTACCAAATCGCGATGTGATTTATTACAATTAGTCAATAACTTGTGTGATTACAATATAATATTTCATTACGAACGAGAATGACCAAAAGCACCAACATAGGACGACGAGATCCTGAAACCCGCAAATACATTATATCAAATAAGTATGTACATTACCGTCACATAGAGGATTTGTCCTTCCGGGTTCGCATGTACAATCACACGTTGTTTGATTTAGATCGCCGTGGATACATTCGGGTGGATTTTCACAGGTCGCTATGAAACATTGAAAGAAGAAATCGAAAGATTAACACCTGAAGACTTAAGGTATATATATAAATGCATTTGCATGTATTGATTTCAATATTATCTACAATGATTTTGATTATTGATACATTAACATCATTTAATCATATATAAATGTGTTCCAAAGTATGATATCACGAATCACACCGCATATATAACATGTGTTATATCTATATGTATTGTGATTATGTTTCAAAGAAGAAAAAACCTTCGCCTGAATATACAGTGTTCCAATTTACACATCCATCAGTTTATTCTCATTGACAATTAAGGCCCATTTAGTAAATATTTGTTGATCTATTATTCATAAACACAAGAGTGTAAGATTGCCCCGATCGGCATTTGCGCCCGATCACCACTCATGCTCGACCGCATTGATCTTAACATACGTCCCTGTACTCCAAACCTTCGTTCATTCAGTCATTGCAGATTATAAATTAAATCGTTTACGCGTCTATTACACTGAAATGAACAATTTCCCAATGTGTTCTAAACACAGTAACGTCATAGGTAGTTATGTACAAGATCTTATTTTTTCCAAAACAACGGCAAGGAAAAAAAAGAGACATATGTCCACCAACGAAGCGTGCTGTCAAATCAACACCAATTAAAAATTTGAAACACAACACCTGGTATTCATATAGCGCAAAGATCTGTTGAAAATTTTTTATAAATATATAGAAAATGTTCATCTAGATAATTCTATATCGTTTGAGTATAATTATACATATGTCCTGCATGCAAAATTGGTACATAAGAAATTTACTAGAAACATACTTACGCATCTTATTAGAAAATAAAACTTCGTTGACCAAAAAAGTGGAACACACAAGTGGGGGGAATGTTCTAATTTGCAAAATCAATCACATCGTAAAACAGACAGATAATTCCTCATCGATTTTTAAAACATATTTGTCAATTGAAATTAAGCGAAGGTCTTATGAAAGCAGCGGATTGCATTTTGTTCGTATTACATTTGCATATTTTGAGCCAGATAGACTTGCGTGAACTCCGTTATCAATGGGAAGCTGAGTCTGTCTGAAGGTTAAACACCACGGACGTGACCACAATCATAAAGTAGCAAATGAATAATACTAACAGTTATCAGCCGGCTCTCCAACGCTTCTTTCGACTTTTGATATTCCACCCTACAATGCAAGACATTACGAACAGCATTACACGATGCCGTTGATTGAAAATAAAATATTATAATCACATATATACAAATTATATTTGCATTGTAAGTGATTTTGTGACTTCATTAAACAGAAAAAAAAAACGTTAAAACTAAAATTAAGTTCAATGAAATATAGAAGAAATTTCACTAGGATTGACACGAAAAATATGAGTAGTTTGTTTTTGAATTAGCTTTTCTTTCGTAATCGTAATCGTAGTTCAAGTTGTTTATACAATATATAATGTATTAATCGCCCATGCAAGTGTTCACATCGTTAAAGTGCGACAAGTCATAAATTTGTGGTGAAAATCAGACTGACGAATAAACATTGAAAGTATTGCACTTGTAAAACGTTGAAGTTCAAAGTAAAAAACACTATGTTCAAATTGATAGATTTTTTTTTTCTGAACTCACCAACGTGCTCGCACATATGTACGAAAACGCAAGAACCAAGACCAACAAATCAAGACGCATGTTTCTTCATCGGCTGACGAACGATCCGCCAATTCAAAACATTTACGGACGTTCTTCGTTTTTATACAGTTTTCCTTGATCATACGGCTGATAGCTCATGCTGCTCTACTTTGACATTGTGATGGCAGATCATACAATATAATATTTCACAGAACATCAAAGCAATGCGCTATTCTAGAAAAAAAAACTCATTATTAATTAGATTGTGTGTATGTATTTGACATAGCGTGAATGGTCGTGGGGAAACCCGAATGTTATAGAGAACATACGAAATAAACTCGAATATTCCAAAAAAAATACATAATTTTCTGTTTATTGTGGGTAAAAATATATTTGCAGTAATATATTCTATGACATCGTAATCAACTTTGAAAACACTACAGTAGTAGTAATATTGGCACAATCCTTGTATGCGCCAAGTATCTTATGTTAGCGCATGTACTTAATGCAGTTCTGATGGGTAGTGAATTATGATAGTTTTCAAAAAAAATAGGCATTGAGTACATGACCATTATCATCGTGGTAGTATCATTATATTGACTGTGAAAGCATTCTGATATCCCATTTACTGGCACACCAGTGGCGGAGGGATGGTGCGCAGTTTTCGCCACATGCAAAAGATGCAAAAGTTTCACAAGTAGGGTTTGATTACTGTATTTTACCGTCGAAGATCCACAAAAAAAAATATAAGAACAATCCATAAAATGCCTTCGTTTTAGAACCCTGATTTTATCGTGAATGTTCATCTACAACATATAGTGTGATGCACGTAGCATTTTTTTTTATTTTGGTCAGGAGTCTTTAGGCAGAGTGCTAATTGACGCTAGTTTCGTTGGCTGACATTTATACGTTATTGTATATAACGTATTGGGGTTATATGTAAAGCGCTTGAATGAAAAAAAAATAATATTTTTGTCTAAATATTATTATTTCAAAATAGATTTTTCGGTAAGAAGTCTGTCTACCTTATTTTGAAGTATCATTGAAATTATGCAAACGATCACCCTCACTAAAAAATGTCAGGATCAGCCACTTTTAAAAATCAGAACCGCATTATTCATACCGGAAATGTTATATTGTATCAACCAGACTAGACCAGTAGCCAATATGAAAATTCAAAAAGAATATATGCTGAATGTTACACACACATTTGGTTTGTAAAAAAATATATTATGGTAAAAAGGTTATCATCTTTTCATCGACGCATCATAATATAAGCGTTCTGTATTCATACATATAATCTAAGCCTAAAATTATTTTCTGTTTTGTTGCTGGAACTGATACATGCGTTCGATACGTGTAATGGACAGTATATATGCCCATTTTAAGATCGTTTGCATCGATGCAAACAAACTATTTTCGACCGAAGTTACGGATACGTGTACTTCATGAAATCGTTGGTTTTAGATGTCGTGGATTGATGAGGAAGTAGATGTCACAAACAAATAGATTATGATTATGCATACAGTTTCCGGCTAGTATATTATTATTCGGTTTAAATATAAATTACATTTTCAGTAAATTTAATTAAAGACAATCTTTATATGACATGTACATGATTTGAAGTGTGAGTGTAAACATTCAGACATCACCACGACGTTTACATTTGAAAAACAAAGAAAAACAATATATTCAAAATGTAAATATATTATATATATATGGTGCATGCAAAGAATATATCTTTTGTCAGATATAATTAAAAAATAAACAATGTCTGTGTCATTATTTTATTACACTGTTATTAAGCATTCATGCGAGCATAGCGGCTTTGACAGTTATTAAGCGTATGATTCCATGAGACATGTTCTATAAATACATTGTGATATTAATGTTTTAAAAGATGATTATCAGCATGACTTGGCAATAATATCAGACGGTCCTCATTGTCACTCTCCTTGGAATAAACTCCAATAACAATCCACATAGTTAATACTGCTTTGGAAGCGTGTCTGAATCCAAGTGAAACAATGTTAAAAATGCATCCGTGGGAGTCAAATAGAGTTTAACATGGCGCTTCTAGAGATTTAGATATTAATATCAGCTGTCGGGTTGGAAGCAATATATTTATTAAGGTTCGTAGTCGCGTGGTGTGAATGTGTCATTAAATGTACATCTGCGCGTGATACATCAACAAATTTAAACCAAAAATGCATTAAATTTGGTATATTATCCTGGGTTTAACACAGAAAATAAGCTGTTTTATTGTTGTTGCTATGAACTGTCTATATTTACTTACCAAAATGAAAGTTCCAGACAGAAGTGGTTCTATCATGATGAATGTGTACGATTATGTAACTCACTCCGCAAATGAAACATTATCAGACTCGGTACTTGAACTACGTTTTATTTTAATATCCAAACCGTGGATCAGTCACTTTACCGGCAGGGCTATGAAAGATTGTGACGAGTGGTCGTGTACCTCCCGCCCTTGCTTTCGGAACTGGTCACCGGCCAATTTCTAGCTGCATGAATATAGAGTGGAAATAGTCCCTTTTGTAACCCGCCCTTAACAATAAACATACCACTACCCTCCAGCGCTTCGTAATTTAATTTTATGTACCCCATCTGAGGGCGTTTATACTTAACGAGAGGGCATATACAATGGGGGGGGGGTTAGAGTTACGTTTTGGGGTGTGGGTATATCAATCATTCAGATTCTGAGATTTGTTTTGGGTAAATTCGTACGTTTATTATCAGTTAATCCACACATATTTGTTTTAATGCTAATTGCAAACCATAATTATCTTTATATCCGGAGTGTAATTTGTATTAGAAAAATGTATTGGTAAAATGCATGGAAGTGCAAGCCCGACTGCAATGTACAAGACCCTAACCAAAACGGTAAAATTCATATCTGTAAACAAACACTTTCGAGTGAGTGTTTCGGACAAGGGAAAGATTCAGTAAATGGATGCATTGCCAGTGCACAGTTATTGTGTTGTTAACGCGTTATTTACTTCATAGTTGTTGCACCTTGACTTGAGTTGCAAGGTCGGAATTACAATAGCGGTTTCCAATATATTCCACAGATGTATGTAGCAATCACATAAGCATATGAATATTTATGGAAGGCTCTGCGCTGCAATATTCATTAAAAATTCTTAGTGGTAATATATATCAAATAATGTTTATAAATGGCAAGTTTATATTCATAAAACCCCCATTTGTGTTTGTAATACCCCATTTATATTCGTAACATCCCTATTTGTATTTGTCAAATACATATTTGTTTTCGTCAAATTTCCATTTGTATCCTTGTATACGTAAAATCTCCATTTTATTCGTCAAATCTCCATTTGTATTCGTCAAATCTCTATTTGTATTCGTCAAATCCCCATTTGTATTCGTCAAACCTCCATTTGTATACGTACAATCTTCATTTTTATTTGTAAAATCTCCATTTGTTTTCAGGAAATCTCCTTTTGTATTTGTAAATCTTTATTTGTATTTGTGAAACCTCCATTTCTATTCGTAAAATCTCCATTTGTTTTCATGCAATCTCCATTTGTACTTGTAAATCTTTATTTATATTCCTAAAATCTTTATTTGTATTTGTAAAATCTCTATTTGTATTCGTACAATCTCCATTTGTATTTGTAAATCTTTTTTGTATTTGTGAAACCTCCATTTCTATTCGTAAAATCTCCATTTGTTTTCATGCAATCTCCATTTGTACTTGTAAATCTTTATTTATATTCCTAAAATCTTTATTTGTATTTGTAAAATCTCTATTTGTATTCGTACAATCTCCATTTGTATTTGTAAATCTTTTTTGTATTTGTAAAATTTCCAGTTGTATTCGTAGAATCGCATTTGCATTTGTAAAAAATGTATGTATATGCATATTTGTTATGTACTCTTATTAGTATTAGTATGTATTATCTAAAAGTATTAATAATTAAAATTCATATTTATCAGGCAATCGAGGTCCTTCGCTCATATTTATCATATAATCGTGGTCGTGCGCCTATATTTGTTGCCATAGCGACATCACGTAGGAACAAATGGTTCACACGCCGTCCAGATTTCCCAAACCATGGAGGATTGCATTAATCCTTGAATATGATCACTTGACCCTCCGTTTTCGTTGATGTCGTTCCGTAGGGATGGACCCACAGTGCAATATTCTCTCCCAAGCAGAATCACGTGTATTTCTACGAATGGGTTTGGTTTACACTGATTCTGCATGAAATACCTGTGAGTTAAAATACTAGTTTTTAAATAAACGAAGAAATTGTTGCCTTACTGTACAGTGCTTATCAAACAAAACAATCATAATACTATAATTTCAGACTCATTGTTGCCAGTCATAACTACGCCGTGTGGTTGATTTTCTCCGCTAAGGTGATGCCGTTAGCAAATATACATATTGTTTTTTTTAGATCGTGTACACAATTTGCATAAACACCATATACAATATGAAAACAAATGAAACCCACATATTTTTATAGAAAATTGTGTAATATACACATGCACGTGACTACAATCATTTTAATCACCAATGGCATACTAGTATAACAACTTCATTCAAGCTTAGCTTGGATATTTAGAGCTCACTCAATTTAACTACTGGCATGACGTCAAGTATATACTACCATGCACAACGGTTATCTAATGTCTGACAAATTATAATAAGAACCGGGTATATGTGACGTCAAAATTAGGAAATGGGATTAATGTTTTTGATATATACAATATATAAACATAGCTCATTGAATCATAATTGCATCCAACGAAAAATACGACTACAAAATAAACGCTTCTTTCTGAACCGAATTAAACAGGAATGTTTGTTTCCACGCCAGATTGATTGCAACGACGAAAGTATTTGTGTTTTATTTTGTAGTTACTCTTCCCATTTAACACAATGCACGACGCAACAACAGACAGCACTAAAACAACCACATAGTCCGGTGACTACGTAACTGCCAATCAGAACCCAGTATGCAAACATATACAGTGTCTTGTTGCAGTAATCGTCAGAGGTCGGGTGGTCGTAGGATGGCTCGCGTGCCCCGTATACCCATGCATTACCTGTGAAATAATGATATTGTAATATTTAATCCACGTAATACGTTCACGTGGCATGTTTAGTGATACACAGGTAAACAACTATGATACTATTGGTGTAAAAGTCACCCTATAACAAGTTAAAGTAACGAAAACGACAACGCATTTATACAGTGTGGCACAGGAACACGTAGCATTTGCACAACTCACCGGCAATGAACCATGCACACAGGAACAAAGTGATACACAATGCGCTACCAGTAGCAATGCTGCCCTGGCTACACTCATCGTCAATATCAGTCTGATTCTCCTCATTTTCATCGCCAGCAGTTCGACATTCTTTTGAACAACAACCGCATGCAACGCAGAAACAGAACAGCAACAGGAACGAGCCAGCGACAATCAGAAATATTGGAATGTATGGTTGAATGGCGCAGTCATCCTTATACATACTACCTGGGAGTAAAATGTTCAACAATATTCATATGGTACGATGTACGTTTTAAATAAATAATCAACGTCTGGCAAAACAACGCCATTTGTCCATACATGTTAACATAAGTCTATAGTTCGTGTTTTTTTTCACACACTGCTCTCACATACAGTGTTTTCAAGAATATATAGTTTACTGATCTGCAGTTATTCAACCAGTAACCTTTTGCAATTTAACGAATAATGTTAAAAATAATGTCGTTGCATGTACGTATTTAACCAAGAAGTAGAATGGGCGACGAATAGCGGCTCCCCAAAGTATGAACTACAAATACCACGAACCGCGAACACGATATTACGTATCACGTGATACCATTTACCCATTTGACCATTTTGATGTTCAGTTCGAATGATAAGCGCGGGGGATATTTATTCGACCAGGGATTGACCATTCCAACGAGGGGGTAGGATTTTGCAAAAATAATGCAGGGAAAATTTATAAATTTATTATAAAGCAATTATTAAAAATCAACAACAAACATTTCATCTTGGAAAGAAATTCACCTCAAACGAAAGAACAAAGTAATTTGCATTTATTTACTCTAAATCTCTTGCCACCCAAGCATTGTCTTTAAAAGATGAGTGTCCTTCACAGTGACCCCGGCAGTCAAATGGACGAGTCCAGACGTTGTGTTCAAATCATGCATGCATAACTATTTGTTGCGATCATTTCATCATTTTTTTTTTGGTTCTCCTATTAATTGTTATTTCAACATTGTTTCTCTGTGATTGTTTCTTTATGCATCGACCGAACGTGCTGGACTAGTCTCTGACACAGATGAATGTGAATATTCGAGTATTTATGTATTCTTAATGTGAGCGTTTGGTGAATGATTGAACATCTAAAACAGGAGAAAGTAGGAAATTATCAGCCTACTTAACCAGAAAACGTTTCTGTTGCTTCGATTAATATTTCTAAATCCAAACACGTGATTCTCACGCTCAAAGTTTCACAGAAAGCACCGCTTTTTACTTCATGTCATTGTGCTCAAGGGTGGGTCTATTTTTCGTGCTTCCATGAATATTTATAAAATTTGCTCAATATTGGTCAGAGAAAATGTTTTTAAATAAAAAATATATAAATAAACATATGAGTAATATAGCGTATTTGAAAAAAAAACGCGTAATCCCGCGTATTGGAGTGTAAAATGTTGCAAGTGGCACACACTGATTCTGGACCCTCGGTCACGCCCCCAACGGCAGAAATAAGTCGAGGCCTGAGGAGTGCTTATGATACTCACCAAGTACAATCATAGAAATGGGTATACCGCTGAGAAGCACAGTGACTACTGCACAGCAACATACAAAGCCAGCTAGAGGTAGAGAATAAAACGTATAAATATGATAAAGTGGCACAATACTTATCATGATACGAATATATTTGAATATAGTGATGTATATCGCATTTCTCGACATTATGATTATTGTTGACTCAAATTCAATACCTGTTTTGCACAATAATTTTCTCAACTTGAGAGCAAAATCTGTTTTTCCAGTTGATTCCCTGTTGGCAGAAACAACCTTAGCAAACAAACTCTCGTATGATGGAGGAGGTCCTATAATTAAAAACCAATCACATTAAAATATATAATATATAAAATGTATGCTGTGGTAGACTTTTTATATTGCCCTGTCAAATGCATTTATTGGTTCACTGAAAAATCAAAACAATGTTTTTCTGTAACTTAAACTATTATTGATCAAGGCATTTTAAAAATCATGGGTGTTAACTCCCCTCAAGTTACGACCCGTGGATTCCCCATAAGATAATGGTTGCATCCAATAATAAAATAAAGATGGCGGACTATAGCGTTGATTCATAGAAATCCTAGAAATTTAATTTATATCTGCCGGTTGGTGATGTAAGCCATGATAGCTGTTCAGGGCACTGCAGCTGGCCGACAACTATTCAGTTATTTGCAATGATTCTGTCAATCACTTATTTGACCACCCTTCTCTTCGTCGGGTGATATGTGCTATTTAAATCAGCACGGAAGTGAGAGCATTGTCACATTTTGTGCTCCAATCAATTGTTCTCTGTCCGTGTGTATTTATATACATAGATGCAGTTTCTTTTGCTTTAATCAAATTTATGGCTTTGTATATACAGGTGTACAGGTTAATCTGTTTCTGGTAGAAATTTACCCAATTTTATTACCCAAAACAGTACGACATTTGCCACATGTCACAACACTAATTTCCAAGTGCCACAATTTAGAACGGGTAGTCAAGTCTGACAATAGTTGGAGCTTTTGCTTATATGAATATGATCACAGTGAAAGGCAAACTGGGTGGCCAAACTTGTCAACAGTAATGAAAATAAGCACAGGCCGAATTCGCACACCCCACTAACAATTAAATGTTTGTTTATAAGGCCACTTTTGATGGTTTCGTGTTTCTTATAGATAACAATTTTAATGTTGAACCTCTATGCTCTTGTACCCAATCGTGGGGAGACCATTATACTCAACAGCAGTTGTAATTTTGCTCATATTACACGTCGTATGTTATATTATTAGCACTGTTTTCCATTTCACATGCCCTGTAAAAAAATTCTATTTTCGATTTCCAGTTTGATCTAAAGTAGTTGCCGCCCAAAAACTGTAGAAATAGAAAAATATATGTTATTTGTTTATTTTGTATTTTGTATTGAGTATACGTTCTTTTGTCATGTCTGCAATGTTATAAAGTACTCAGGACTTACTTACACTTACAAAGTTACTCAATTTTTCTAATCGTATTATATAACTTATTTTTACCTCGTACAGATTCCTCGTATGATGGCAGAGATTCAATTTGGTAACCAACTTCCAAATCCTGAAAAGATCAATAAAGTTTATGTTTGTCTATTGAACTAAAAATCAATTAATTCGGTGATTCACTGTGTGTGGTGAGTGATTCATAGTCTCGACACATACATTGTTACATACATTGAATATCGAACATCTGCAGTAATAAACCACTTCAGACAATTGACAACAAAATTGTGTACGTGTGTGTGTGTGGCGATGATACTAGAAATCAAATCTGTGTTCCCTTTTTTGATTTTTTTTTTCGTATGAACTTTCCTTGTTATGGCTTTTCTTACAAAACTGCCCTATATAATTGTATGCAAAATTCTATAAGAATCAATGGGTCCTATATAATTTTACTTTTCCAGACCCATAGAACTAGAACAAAAGCATGAAATTATAAGTCTTATGATTATAAAATTTTTATAGGACTTTAAACTGCCAATTAAATAGGTCTGCAGTGTGAAATCATAAGTCCTATAGAACTATACAATTCCTATACTACAATGGCAGTTTTAAAAGAAAAAAATAACTTAGTTTCCTACATGTTTCTAAAAATTATCTAAAAAAACTTATAGGTTTCTAAACCTCTAATCTACGGTTGTTATAGACCTTCTTATCCATATTGATTGACTTTATAAAGAAATCTATAGTTTCCATGACTTAACATTAGCATTATGTAGAGTAGTTCACATAACTCATTCAAAAATGTTCTTAAGATTATTAAATACTTATACAAAAATTCCAATAGATTTTACATTAAATTAAAAACAATTAATGCCATTTACATACGTTGTATTATACAAAAAAGAGGTACCTATATTAGAAATGTTCTAGTTTTTACGGAATTTGTTTAGCTTCATGATATTGTATTATTGTAAGTACCATGATTTTCTGTCCTTCACACTTGCGCCTTGTCCATTTATAGTTTTCATATAGACTTATTTTTAATACACGTTTGTAGAATTTCATAGGAATTTTATACAATTTAAAATAATCCAGATTTTTTAAAACTTTGGATCTGCTCTGATTAATTATATTTTGCGATTTTGTTTATTTTTCAGAATATTGGGAGATTGTTTACCGAACATAGAGACTGTAGCTCCTGTCACCACAGATGGCGCACTTTCGGAAGCCTCCGACGAAGAGATTTACTTTATCATATATATATGATCGACGGATTTTTACCCAAATAATCTTCATACTATAGAATTATACAGGGAATAAAACATTTTGACACAACGTTCTGTAGGACAGTTTCCTGTAGCTGTGGGATTTCTAAAACATTTTGACACTGGATTATATGGGATTCCAATAAAGCAAATTACCGTAGGATTCCTAAAATATTTTGACACACAATCCTATAGCAATTTTGATGGAAAAAATACCAGCAATTCGTGCTAAAGGAAACGTGTTTAGGGCTTCAGAATGTTGAATCTGTCAGTTTCAAGTGATGTTCTTTCATGCACGTCCTCGAACGACAATTCGCTCCTGTGACGTCAACATAATTATATATTTTCGCCATTTCAATAAAACTAAATATCTGAATAAATAATTTGTAATCTTTATTTACGTCACTCAATCGTTTCGTCGCTAGCGGGCGATGTGTTCTATCGTCTTTTTACAAATTGACGATTGTGTTCGGGGTAATTTTCCAACAACCCTGTCCTGGTGTTTTGGGGTCTAATAGTATTTACTTAGGTAGATTAACTCTCGTGCATGATATTCTAGTTCCGTGGTCGTCTACACATCCAGCAGTCGCTGCTCTCTTGGCATTGTAAAAACTTTTCACTGACATTCATTGTCCTAGTGGTTAAAATACTATCACAGAGCATATAAGTATTCGTATAATAGTATTACCTCAGTAGAGTGTAGCAATCTAACGAGAAACTATGTACAGATTAAATAACTGCTGTGCAAGCGAACTCTACCCAAATCATTGTTGAAATCATTAACATAATAATAGCCACGATGTGAAAATAGTCTTTACAAAAGTGGTTCACGCTAGGTCAAACATCATGCAGTACGTATTACTGGGTTAATGATTTCTCTAAATCCGTAGAATATATCACGATGGCACTAAAACAATAGTTTGAAACTAACTGAGTAATATATATGTGCAAAAACACCGCGCACATCCGAGCACGTCAGATTTGTGTGTTGTGTGTACAGTTCAGAGTTGTTTTGCGGAAGTTACTGCAACAATTGTACAATCTCGGTATTACGTACACACACATTTAATTTTACCGTAATTAGCGTGTTTCAAAACTTACCTGAGTGCTATTACCCAACATGTTTTCACTGATTTTTCCTTAGGGTTGTTGGTCAGTTTCCTCGTTAGGTAAGCAGTGATACGTCACGAGTATACCCACAATGCCCCTGACGGGTCGTCGCAAGCCAGACGTTGCGTGTTTATTGTGTGTGGGAATTGTTTACTAACAGTGTCAATTTCCATGGTCGGTTATATAGCGCCCTCTAAGATTCTGTAACTTCATTTTTTACCGCGACATTGATGCATACTTGGCGTGAATTGCGCAATGTTGAGAGGGACACCCCCCACTGGGGTGATGGTTTATTTCATGTAGCAGCTTCATTTTAACTTTAAAACAATGTTCAAATGAGATGGGCATCTGAATCGTTCTATTTACAACCGTGGTTGAATGAAATTGTCTCTCGTACTAGCATAGACCGATGATTGTTACATCGAGCGATGGTGCACATTAACATCTCCGCGTTGCGACGTGAATTCGTGTGATGTATGATATAAACATGTTAACCTTAATAAATTAATAAAAACAGCTGCTTTTCAATGGCGTGGAATAATCACTCTATCTTATGCGTTGAATATATCCTAAAAAACACGCATGCCTATTGTGATTAAAATAAATACTGTCATGTTGAATTGGAGGCTATAGTTTTAATATTTTTCATCATTTGTATTTCAGGCCCCTTTAACAGCGACGTATCAGTGCTGCCGGTAAATACTCTCAATCCCTGCACTGCTGCCATTGTAACACAATTTTAAACGAGTTTCACGTTAATGTTTCTTATCAAAACGATTACAACAGAATTACAGACTACCTTCAAATAAATATTAATTTAACGAGGATATATTTGCTGCGCAAATAATTATCATCTAAGCGACCTCTACCCAAGTTATTGAGAAACATTTACATGACAATAGGGCTAACGTGCAAAAGAATCTGGACAAAAGAAGGTTCACGACAGGTCAAGGAGCTTGCAATAAGTGTAAGTGTGTTAATGATGCCACACAATTGCAGCTAGCACATGACACGAACAATATATACAAGTGCAAAGGCATCCTGCACATCCGGACACGTTCAATTAGAGTCGTAGCAAGCCTGAAACTGTGTTTTAACGACGGTGTATGAATAGTTTACTAACAGTGTCACTGTTCATCGTCGGTTAAATAGCGCCCTCTACGAATCAGTAACGGGCCGAGCAAAGTAAGGGCATAGTGATCTTATTACGCAAATTTTCACCAGTTGTCAACAAAAACGGAACAAACCACTGTCGCAGCCGGGTATACCACGAAATTTAGTTTGCGACATAGATGCATATATGCCGTGAATTGCGCAATGTCGAGAGGTACACTCAACTGTAATGGTGGTTCATTCCATATAGTATATTATATTCCTTCTACTGCAACCGTCGTTGAATGAAATGGTCCCTGGAACAATAGATACATCGAGCGGTGATGCAAATTCACTTTTGAAGTGTATTCATGTAATTTATCGTTATCGTCAACGTCGATGTATATAAAATTGTCTCAATTCACACAATTTCAAAAAATATATACACGCGCCGATTAGTTTTGATGGTCGACAATACTTCCGGGTTCACGAGCGAGCCACCGGAAACAAGAATTATTTCCTTGGCTTAGTAGCGTAATTGTCACAAATAAATTAGTCTTTTACATCTGCTTGGAGCCGGAACATTCCCGCGAATCGTAATAGTTTTCATTACGAGATATTCGTAAAGTTGACATTGGGAGTTACCCTGTATGTGTGTTATCATAACTTACGCACGGGATGTTTTTTTAATCACGAAAAAACATTGGTATATCGTCGGTACTATGCAATTGAGATGTAATTGATATAATATATCATTTTATGTTGAGATATATGCGCAACCTTATACCAGGAAGCGTAATAATACGTTTTAAGGACATGGTTTTAAAGATGGGTTTAAGCACCCGTCTGTATGATATGTTTGACTGGAATGTCTGATAATTTAACTGCAACCCCACTTATTCATCGGTTAGTGATGGAGCAAACTTGTTTATCCAATTATACTACACATTTATCGTACTCTATATTTTTATCATGCAAAATTGTGTGCCAAATATGTTATACATCGTGGCAATTCTAGCATATCGGAATTCAGTTGAATCAACATTTAGCTACTGCCTGTAACGTAAGTGAGCGGCACGAGAAAGCTGTATGACAATAAGCAATTTATTCGAAGTATTCATGTATATACTTTCGTTAAACTGTATTGAGCGTCCTTGAACACACGTCACATAAAATGTGCAAACAAGTGCTATTATCATACATTATCTACTCGTACCATGCCATTCTTATTATACTGCAAGATCGGTGTTAAAATATGCTACGTATCAAGTAAATATGACTACAATTCACGTATTTTGGATGACTATAAAATACTCGTGGTAAAATTCCAAAACTATGATATGTGTTGCTGTGTAGTCAATCTTGATGGTGCATCGCTGTTTCTCGACGCATAGCACGTTTTTTTTCCCGTTTCAAGTTATTTTCATGACGGACGACATAACCTACTGCGATACATAAAGATCTAAAGAACAAAATGCGCTTTTAACAACTCAACAACTAATTTATTTTGAACAGTGTTTGTAAGGCAATGTGTGTAAAATATATAAAGAATATTCTCGATTAAACAATGTTTTTGAATACTTACATGGAACATTAGTTTATTTCTGAATATCATATTTAATCCGGCACATACAGATTGTACCATTTTACACACAAATCACGAAGACCTGTTTTTTTTTTTTGTTATTTGACCGTCCTTCAAAACTGTTATGCATAAAATTCGTTCACAAGAAGTCGCATAAGCGGAATGGGTGGAAATGAAATGGGGTTTTAGCGTAACAAAAATACGCTAGATTTTTGTTATCGGAACACAAGCACGCACACGACCATGAAGGGGGAGCGCAATCGTTATTTGACGATGGTGGCGCTGTTAAATAATCCGCCAATGATATCGTATTGAATTCTCCATTAAACCAATATGTGTCAAACCGATGAAGCGATAAAAATATTGTGTGTATATCTATCACATATATTATTCTATTTATTATTATTCTAACATGGAAATCAGTATGTTCACTATAACTGGTACACATACATTACATTGTACCCTTTTTTTTCAACAAATCTAATTTAATACTTCTGCCTAACGTCCTTGGTTAGATATCACATATATAACATGTGTTTTAGCACTGTCACAAATATCACTCATACAGGGAAAAATAAATCAGAAGATTATGAAGGATTAAGCTATTATGATTACAGTATCAACAACTACAACCGCACATCTAATTCAAATTTTTTGATGGATACTATACTTCGATCGATGAGATGAACCAAGATGCGATTTTATACTTCTGGAGTATTTTCAATCTACTGTTGACATTGAATCATTCACACAGTTTTGCAGTTATTGACCTTTCGTTGAAAAATAATACCTCGATCAACAAATAAAATATGGCAATTTTCTTATTTGCCAATTTTCACGTGACATTCCACCCACTAATTTTAAACTCATTAGAGACAGGGGCCCGTTCAGTCCTTGTTTTGTGAACCACCACCTCTATATTTACTATAGACATTAAAGATTACATTTTCTGAACGGATTAAGCAAAGCATTATTTAGGAGGTTTTATATCACCGATATATATATATTATTGAAATACGTGGTAAGATGATATCCGCGCAATAACAGTGACGTCATAGTTATGTTGTCATGTTTTTGTGTGTGTGTGCAACTACTTTGTTTCTTCTTTCGGATATACATTGAAACGAAGGTGAAGGTATAAGAAATATAATTGGATGATTTATACGGCCTCTCGTTTAATCAGATTTGAATAAGTAACGCATTGTAAAATTCACTTGGAATATTTGCTGCTATATTCTGACATCAATTTAGAGACGTTTTCATCAACGAATATTAACGATACTCGGTAACTTCACTTTATTGTGCTAGTTACTAAATATTTTTTTATATTAGCTGACATTGTTAATTTACGCTCACACCTGTTTGATTAAACATTACGGATTCCTGTTTCGACATAAACAGCAACAATTAGTGCCTGGCTCGACAAAACACGAATCCTTGCTATCCAAACAATTGCTTAATTACACCTTTATAATGAGTGGGCAATTGATTCATTTGGGAGTTGTCCGGATTAGCATAAATACGTGCAATAAACATCCCGATTGATTATATTTTGCAAAACAAAGCCAATTTGTGTAATTATAAAACATGTATAATTTGTATATAGTATAATTTGGAATACATTATATACTGACCCCAGTACATAATATAAGTAGACACGTGATCAGACGCTTTGTATATATCAGAGCGGTGCAATTGTTTCGCCTTTTTATTCGCATGTTTTGGTTTCTGGACTTTTCATTTAAATTGCCATACATTGCCATTTAGAATAATCATAATACATATTTGCACAACACAACACAACAAACATACAAACGAGCGGTAACTGGCTTAGTGACCTTTAGGTCGTTCACTGTGATCTGCAAATAATGACTCAATAAATATTCCCACATTAGCGGAAAATAGGAGTTGGTACCTCATAATAATAGAAAACATTATATGTTACTATAATTTACGACACCGTTTAATTATTCCCGCGAACTATAGGAATTAAACAAGTATAGTACAAGCCAATAAATTATGAAATCGAATGTTTCTTTTGATTATAATGAAAAATATGTGTGTTATAATCTGTTGATGTTATTTCTCGTTGCAAAAATTATTGTGAGAATTAGTTGTCGTTGTGGCGTAGGGGCCGCTCACGACTGGTTATACTGGTATTGCGTAGTTGATTCACAATTGGATTCGCAAATTGAAACAAATAAAATCTTCAAGCTACAATACTGTTTTCATTTATAATGCACATAAAAGAAAACATACTGATATACAAACAGTAATTCACTTGAAGAAATATTTTAGTTACTTGTAGGACTTGCCCACGGCAGGCGAAAACAAT